GATCCCTGTTTATAAATTCCAGTTGCATAAGGTCTTTTTAATTTTTACAAGCTTTCGTCTGTTCCTACAGACATCATCAGGTATGGAAGTAGATTTTGTTCTAGTTTGTACTTCTCAGTAATAAGAGGACAACGAATATAGAGATGTAATCCGATAAAATGCTATGAGAAATGTGTTATTGTTTTGGAACGTGCGGTCGCAACGCCGAGTTTGAATTTAAATTTTAAGGTTGTGCGTTTTTGTACAAATATAGCAATAAGAGAATTCTTTTTTACTGGTAGATTTTCCGTGAATATGGCATGAACTATATTGTTCAATAATTACAGTAATGTCACACTTATCCGAGAGTTGCACGTTGGATCAGTTATTTTAATTTCAATTAAAAGGTGCAAATATAATTTATAAATTCATGTATCATTCATACAAAAAAACAAATATAGAGGTTAATGATTTAAATGGCGAGAATACATCTTCGCAAACACATAAATAAGATACACCAACCCGAACCTGTATATGAATGATATGATCCCTGTTTATAAATTCCAGTTGCATAAGGTCTTTTTAATTTTTACAAGCTTTCGTCTGTTCCTACAGACATCATCAGGTATGGAAGTAGATTTTGTTCTTGTTTTTACGTCTTAGTAATAAGAGGACAACGAAAATAGAGATGCAATCCGAGACAAGCGTTATCTACTTATTTTCAATAGGATCCTCTCATCTTCACTTCCAAGCTTCTTAGTATTCTTATTAAAGGAAGTGAGAAAATTACCATGTTGATACATATTCATTTATTCCGAGTATTTTTGACATTAGCACATTGTCATCATCAGGGTGTTGTTTTTCCTAAGACAAAAATTGTCGTGTTCATCATTTTTCTAAGACAACATTGTTGTATTCATCTGAAAGTTAATCTTTTTAACTGTGAAGTGAAAAACACTGAGGTTATGTACTGTACGATTTAAATTTCACTATGTAAACGTCAGGGGAGGTAACTAAGTTATGAAATCTCCAAATAGTTTTTAAGAAAAATGTTTTTTAAGGAAAAACATTTGGATATTTCACAACTTAGTGGACATTTCATAACTTGGGAAATTTCATAACTTGAATGTTTTTTTCCTTTGTATCTTTATTAAAATAACGATACTAAGAATCTTGTCCGTCAATAGGAGAGGATCCTATTGAAAATAAGTAGACAAAACTTGTCGAAATTATTCACTGAGACATGTCTTTATATATATAAATATATACTAAAAAATAACAACTGTTGATGGAACCAACGAACAACTTGCCAAAACCTGATATCCTTATCCAGATACAGTCAAAGTCAAACGACAATACTGAAAAAAGCCTAAAGGCAAAACTACCCACTCAATAAAGTAGAATGCTCGAAGCCTAGATTGCCTAGACAGAGGAAAAATGTTTACCAACGTTAAATTTTATCATAGGATGGCCCTAGTCGAAACCCGAGTTTCACGTTCACGCGATCTTCATACGACTTGAACGCCTAATCACAATTAAATAATAATAATAATAATGACAATAATAATAATAATCAACAAAAAATAATAAAGTAATCAATAATAACTAACGAGTAAAAGTTTAAGTCGTCCGAAGATCGCGTAACTCGGGTTACAACTAGGGCCATCCTTTCATAGGATTTAACGTTGTTACGCATATATATATATATATATTGATGCATGTTTCATTAAATAATATAAACAGGTTTTGGCTATTTATTTTAAGTAAGTTCCTTTCATATTTCTATATTATTTAATGAAACATGCATCAATGAAAAAAATTGCCGCCTATATATATATATATATATATATATATATATATAAAAAATATAAATATATATATATAAAAGAAAATATATATATATATATATATAAAGTGCTCAATATCAGAGCGTATGTAAATATAAAAGTGAACATTGAAATCAACACTCTGAGGTGACGGCCTGTTTTTATGTTAGACGCGGCCTGATGATTGCGTCTAGCATGAAACAGCCTGTCACCTCTGGGTGTTGACTTCAATGTTCACTTTTATATATATATATATATATATATATATATATATATATATATATAAAATTCTGTTAAAAATGGTAGGGATAATTTCAAGGAGGACAGGAATTCAAAAAAAGGGCTCAATGTAATAAACAGCAATATAATAACCATAATACAGACTGTCCTTAAAAATCCATTCGGTTATAATTTATTTCATGAATATATACAAATATTCATCTCTTCAGATTGAATTTCTTTTTAATAAAAAAAAATTATTAAAAAACTTCGGTCTGAAGAGATGAATATATATATTCATAAAATAAATTGTAACCGAATGGATTTTAAGGGACAGATTTCTTTTTTGATTATATATATATATATATATATATATATATATATATATATATATATATATATATATATATATATAGTAAAGGTAATCGATCCGTTGGTATATAATCCGAGTGGATCCTAGTAATATTAATTATTAAAACTGTTCCACAGAGAGCTCGATGTTTTTATTTTAACAGAGCATATGTATTTTTACAGAAAAAAAAAAACAAAACAAAAGTTACCTCAACATAGGTATAGTCTATTTCAAACCGTTTTCCACACGGCTATCATCACCCTCTCAGTGCTTGTCTCAGAGCATTGTTCTAAATTTATATTCAAAGTCAGTCGTCCTCTAGTAGATTCCTTGTTGATGAGAGTGAGTTTATATTAGCGATTTGTGGGGACGTAAGGTTTCTTATCTCGGGTGAAGCGGTCTGGGTTTTGAATTTATTTATGGCCAGGATATTTGTTTGTAGTTTAAATTCTGTTCCTACTATGTGGTGTTTCTTATAAAGCCCCCGGAGTATGTTTTTTTCTGGGACTCACAGTAAATAGTGTTTGTACTACTAAGCGATGAGGGATTTAAACTTAAGTCCGTTAAGATTAATGTAAATTAGTTGAGTTATAGATTTATAGATTGTGGGTAATACCAGACTATCCAACGGAATAACTCATGCTGCCCAACACGCTTATATACGTACATATCTTCATACATACATATATATGTACATTTACATGTTCATACATATATGCCACTATACGTACACATATATCCCCACATATATGCACATGTATTCTTATTGTTGTGGTAGGATCCACCTAATTTGCATAGTGGAGTACCGATCATATAAATATGGTTCGTACCGGGAAGAGAGGGAGGAATCAAGAGATTCAATCCAGAGACTCTGCCCGACTGCGACTCAGTCAACACATTCTCCAGGAACGGTCTTACCAGGAATATACAAAAGACTATATGTAAATATTGTGTACACTTTCTTGTTTCAATACATTTTGTTCTAAGTACATTTTGTGTTGGATTATTATTCCATGCATTAGTCAAGTTTCAACACTTATGTAATTTGGTTTTTTTTTCTATGTCTACATTTCGCGAATAGTTTTCTCCGTTGATTTAACAGTTTGCATTGATTTTTATATTTTATTATCCTGATTTTTTCTTCTAAACATAACTTGCACCTACCCCTAAAACTATTGGTGGTGTTCACAAAACCTAGAATTTTCCAATATATTTGAGGATTCAGACCCTTTTCCTTCAATTCCCAAATTTTTTTCGAAAGGGCTGTTTGATGTTTTAATTTTGAATTGGTGAATGAATGTCTATGTGTATTGATTCTCTTTTTAAATTCTCCTGCAGAAATGCCGATCTAAATATTATGGTTTGTCGTATTTTCTTTAGGGATAATCGTTGTCTGGTATACTAACATACCATAAGGAACTTACAAGCATTAATAAATTAATAATCTACTATTTATCAGTTTATTTCATAGGATGGTCGACATGGATCTAACAATGAATAGCAAACAAAGAAAATATTTTCATTTACATGATATTTGCTATGGGTAATTGTCAACAATCTGACAAAATTATCACGGAGCAATTTGCCTTTACTGTGGTCGTAAAATCGCATCGCTGTCTTTAAATTATTATCTAGATAATAAAAATGTTTCTTTTTACGTATTTTATTAAGAACATATATTATTATATATTAGATTATCAACCTGTGCAAAAAACAGAAAAAAAATCTCACTCCACGATTATATGAAAACATCTCTCATCCTCTCTTATCAATAAGTTGCATAGGATTTTATAAGGAAAACGGCTAATGATAAATCTTTGATGTAGATAAGCTAATCGCTGGATTAAAATTGAGTAAGTTCTTATATTGATACTAATAAATAGTGGCTACTCTTAACCAAGTTTCGTACAGTTACTACAGTGAAGGACATAGAAAAAAATCAAATTCATTAGACAAGAAAAGTTCGTTGGTGATAAGGACAAGTGAGATCATTTGTTATGTAAAATCAATCCTCCCCTTTGTATCCTCAAAGATGAAGAGAAAACATGAGGCAACACAGATGTGATTCTACAGAAGGATAATGAGAATATTATAGACTGAACATGTGAGCAACGAGGAGGTTTTAAAAGAATTGAAAATAAAAATCACTTATGTTTTGAATGAAAAAGAAGTAATCATAATTTCTGAGACTCATAATAAGGAAAACGCGTGGAGAATTTAACACTCACAGGACATAGTGAAGACAAAAGGAGTAGTAGGAAACATCGAGTAATCTACCTAACAATAAGTGGCAGGATATCGACTGGGAGGGATGATAAAAAGACAAAATTTACTAAGAGCTACACAGGAAACATATTCACCCACATCCTGAAGGGACAAGACAAAAAGAAACGAATGATCTGCAAGACTATTTTGTTAAGCAACGCCTTGCCGTAGATATTGTTTCAGATATATATATAAATATGTATTAAAATAAACACTGGTTAAAAATCTTAATAAAATTTGAATTTAATATTTAAATAATATGTAATCATAAATTATATTTTTAATTATAAATATACACTATTTCCTTTAGATATACGCGCTTTTCTTTTACTTTCCCTCGCTATCAAAATATTTACATTATCACCAGTTCTCGACAGATCTCCGAAATTAAACAACGTTGAACAGGGTCAGTATCAAGATAGGCGACCGCTTGGGAATATCAGGTGCTGTAAGCATAAATGTGCTTCTGGTGTAATGGATAAAGGCTCGGAATGAGAAATCAGAGAGCCGAGTTTGAATTCCAGTCGAGTTCATGCAAATAACCGTGAGAAAGGTATGAATTCACGTATTCTCCTCTCAGCTATGGGTTAAATAGTAATACTTGTATCAGAAAATCATTATTGTCTCAAAGAAATTATCACAATCCAAAAATGTTTCGGCCTCTAATAACCTCAAAAAGGTTGATAAGTCGTAAAAAAATACATCCATCAATATTTACATTTTATTTTAACATTTCCTCTGTGAAAATTTCATTGATTAGTTCACATATCTATTTTAAAATTTTATTACCTATAACAGTTTTCAAATTGAGCACAGCGTTTTCAAGTAGTAAGGTTAACATGGTAACGACATTTCTTTTTTTTTTTTTTTTTTGATAATGCTCATGTAAAAGGAGCGAAATGCCAACAAGAAAATAAACATTTTCAACATCCAACTCGTTTTCACCTATTCCATCATTACAAATTTTGTATGGATATTTTACATCACTCATATCCGTAGAAGTGGACAATATAAAAGTTCTTCATGAAGTTAGAAGAGGTAGTAGTACTTTAGGTCACGTTAGTAAATGTACTAAGAGACTGGTGAATACCACAGAATATATTTTAACGCATCACAACACTTGCCTTTCAAAAGTATGACTAAGGAAAAAAATCTAGGTACCATGGACGAAAATTCACCAGAACAATTATCATGAAAGTATTTATAGAAAAGACACAGGGAAGCTATGTTACTGTGTTGGGAAAGTGACTTATTTCATTAAGATCTATTTTATCAAGTTTTAATAATCAGATTTATAGCATGTTGAGAACGATACACACACCCTAATTTTTATGACCCACTTTTATAGTAGCTCAACCAAGTCTGTCACCAAGCGACAGTAATGAAACAATCAGAAAGAAACGCGCTCACTACATAAGGAAACAATGTGTTACGAAGAGAACGATTTCCCGGTCTGTGGGATTAGAACCGTAGAGGATGATTTGAAAACCTTTTTAAAAAGCAATGTCTTAAAAAAGAAAAGGAAAAGCAAATCCCCTTTGAAAGTTTTTAATTAATTTTCTCCTTCATTCATAAAGAGTTTCCAATAAAAGCAGCATTTTTTTTTTAAATAGATTCCTCAAAGAATAATTGAAGCTTTAAACACTCACACCACTACATTCAATACAATCTATTCTGCTCTCTCTCTCTCGCACTGTCTCTCTTTCTCTCCGTGTCTCTGTGTGTGTCTCTCTCTCTCCCTGTCTGTCTCTCTCTGTCTCTGTGTGTGTCTCTCTCTCCCTGTCGCTCTCTCTCTGTCTCTGCCTCTCTCTTTCTCTCTCTCTCTCTCTCTCTCTCTCTCTCTCTCTCTCTCATACATCTTTTTTTCTTCTAACTTTTGCCAATTTTTGCAGCTGCATTTCTGCTGCTGGTGATAACTTCGAAGCGCTGCTGCTCTCCTCCGCATCACCGATGCACCTGCAACAACTGATGTGTGTGTGTGTTTTTTTTTCATAAAGGAAAGGACACAGCGCAGCATGGTTACGTTCGAATGAAAACGTCCCAATTGTGTTCAACAACCTTGAAAAATTGTAATAGATTTCCTTGAATCATTGATAGTTTAAAGTTCTTTTGTTCATTTTATGCGTTATTTTTCTTATTATTTTTATTTTAATTTATTATTCGTTATGTTTATTTATATTTAAACGTAGCCAATTTAGGCAATAACCCTTCTTTTATACATGCTTTATTAAATAAAATGGATGAAAATATTTTTTTTCAGAATTTTAGCGAGTTTCTTTCAATGTTGAATAAGCCGTTTCGTGCTGTAAATGAACTTTCCGAAATTATGTGTAATATTCCAAGTACTTGTTGCCTTGTGGAACCGACACCCAGGATGTTGCTTCCCTAATCATTACAATCTTAACCTGTTCAAGCCTAGAGTTAACCGTTATCGTCTGCACATATCCGCTTAAGCTATACTTCTTATTATGTAACCCTCTACTTCAGAGCCTTGTACAGGATGAACACCACAGTAAAAAAAACCTTTCGATGAACATTGGTGATTTTGAAGGAAATAACGCTGAAGTCAAGAGATAGCAAATGGAGAATTTATGTTGTTAAAAATCCGGAATTTAAATTGAACGTGTATTCACATGCTATGATGTAGGAATAGATTTCAGTGTCACGTGACTAAAATGACGTTATGTTTCAAAGGCCTTTTAACACTTGCCCACCTAGATTAAAACAATCTTTTTTTTATTGACGGTGAGTTGCAGTCTTTTCATGTTGAGATCCTACAAAATTTTTAGTCGTTTTTACAGTTGGATTGGCAAAGTAATCGTCAACAAAATAATGGCAACGAGAAGAGTTGCCGTGGATCTGTTTTAAATGTTTATATATGGCAATTTTTTTCGAGAGATCCCAGGTCGCTCTTCTCGAGAAAAAAATATATGGTGATATATTTTTATTATCGACAAAGACACAGTTTCCCAAGAGACAAGATGACTATTATACAATGAATTCAGATTGTTAGATTTAGCAAAGACCATAGATCTTCAAACTTCTTGGATTGACGCTACAGAATCACAAATGAAGAACTGTACCAAATGACAGAAACTACATTACTTGAGGACTTTCAACAGCATCAACAACTAAATGTAACACGAAGAGAAAATACTAATATAATCAAGATGTTGACATTCCAGACTACTTCAAACAAAAAGTTAGGAAGGAAACTCCAATCAATAACAACTACTGGACTTAAGGAACCTATTTTTATGAAAATTATTTTAAGAGATAGATTTTATAAATTTCAACTGAAAGTAGCATTGGCTGCTCAGTCAATGAATGCCGAATATTTTTTTTATCAGAAAATTATTAATATTACCATTACCATGTGTCACATAAAAAATGTCACATTTAGCCTATGCATTACGTATGCTCCAGCTATAGGTTAAATAGTAGTGTACACTGGTCTCTTTATACTTTTGTGTCAACCAGTCTGTGAGAAGGAAACTTTCCATTCCAAACCGTGGAAAAGACAACGAAAATCACTTCACGGAATTGGTTAATATATATACATATATATATATATATATATATATATATATATATATATATATATATATATTTATTTACTAAAATTACACAAAATACTAAAAAAAGAAATACTAAAAAGTAAATTTATTCAATAAAATCGAATTTGGCTTCAACCACGCCCTCCAGACGACTTCGGAATCTCCTGCATCTCTTCTGAACGGTCTCCTTGTTTAAAGTTGAAAGCTTGGACCATATTCCTTGTACTTTTCTACCGAATTCAGACTCCTTGTCTGAGAAGAATTATTCATAATTTGGAAAAGTCGATTAGTAAAATTAATCGACAGAAAATGTATGTTGTTTTTAATAATAATCGTCTTAAAGAACAGGTGCTACGCAAACACATAGACGAAAATAAATAAATATACCGTTTAATAAATATACGGACCACCTGCTCAAATACGAGTACCCATAAAGAATAAGATTTAGAGTGATATATATATATATATATATATATATATATATATATATATATATATATATATATATATATATAGGCCCAATCATCTTCGAGGATATCCGTCTACAAAGGCAGCTAGCCAATCCCTATTGCAGACGTTCACTCAGGCACAAATGTGCCTGATTGAGCGTCTGCAATAGGGATTCCAATAAGCTCAAGGATTAGGGATTGCAATAAGCTCAACATCCACAGAGCCCACCTGTGGTTTATACTGCAACTATGCTGAGCTGACCTTAGTTGCAGTTTCTGGGAGAGAGTGTGTTATCTAGCGTGATCAACAATTTGAAGAAGGCCAGCACGCTCACGCCCTCGGCCACGATGACTTGTGACTTCGTCCTAGCGCAATTATCGATAGCGCATAACTGTTCCGTCTACCCAATTTCACTCACAAGGCTTGGGTCAACCCGTAGTATGGCTTTCAGGCACTTTTCCAAAGTGTATATATATATATATATATATATATGTATATAAATAAAAAGAAAGAACAGCAAGATATATAATCCGGTGTTCTTATAGATATTTTTATTTTTACAAAATAGTGCTCAATGTAAATTTACAGAGCATTAATATTATCAATTAATTGATTTAAAATATGTTTTTTTCGCTACACAGTTCTAACCATGTTTTCAAAAATGGAAGCTAAAATTAAATTCGTGGCTTTTAGCTTCCATTTTTTGAAACATTTTAGAAACATGTAGCAAAAAACATATTTTAAATCAATTAATTTAAATATATATATATATATATATATATATATATATATATATATATCAGTCATATAGGCGCGTAGATAGAATATATATATATATTTTTAAGCGTTTCACCCCAAGCAAGGCGAGAAGCCACTAAGACGCAAGGGGTTACAGAAGATTTAGAGCAAGATCAGATAGGAGTGAGAGAGGAAAGGATGAGGAGAAGGGTAGTGGATAGATCAAGGCAACTGGACATGTCGATTGACATTACATTTGAATAGCTGAAGATTATAGCTCTCAGGGAAACTGGAATAGGGAAGGGTATTCCACAGGCGGGAGGTGCGAGACATGAAGCTATTGGAGTAGAAGAGACGGCTACATTTGGTAGTTTCGACAGTGAAAGGGTGAGAGCGGGATGCCAGCCTCGTAGGGCGCTTGAACTCATGAAGTCTGGGAACCAGCGAATGCAGCTCATCGGAGCAATTACCATGAAAGTATTTGTAAAAAAGACAGAGAGAGGCGACGGCGCGTCTGTGAGAGAGCAACTGTAGACGAGATGCCAGAACAGGGCCAATTATATTGCATATCCGCCTCTGGAGCCTATCAAGTACCCCGAGGCAAACAGAAGGGGCCCCAAACAATATATGGCAGCAATACTCCATGCAAGGGCGAATTGTTGATTTGTAGATCTGGAGGATCGATTTCGAGGAGAAAAATTTTCATGG